TTTCAAAAGGGGAGATCAGTCAATTGATTAAGTTTTTCATTGACTCGCATCTCAGATGAGTTCAGAAGTGTTGAAATGTTTCTTGCAATCACAGAATTTACCTATTTGAGCATATACACACACACAAATCATTCTAGCCACCCTCCAAGTTGAAAGTCCCTTTTCGACTACAGGACACACACCCAGTACTCCACCTGTACAGAACACGCAGTATACTGTGCCTGTACAGTACATCATATGCATTGCACATTTGGCTTCTCTCCAACAGTCACATATACTCATGCAGATATACACACACAGACACACACGAAAACATTGTCAGTGGACTTTGATTGGCAGAATTGTGTTGGATGTTAACCTTTGCTCTACCTCCTACATCCGAAGACCTGAAAACCACTGACTGGATGCTTCTACTCAAGGTATGAAATTACAAAAGCATTTCTGCTACGTGAGTGAATGAGTGGAATATACGTCAGGCAAATATATGTCATTTCTTTTGACATGGTATGAAGTGTAAATGATAATCTTGTTCATAAACAGACACTGATGCACACAAGCACTGGCCTTTCTACTAACAAAAGCTATAGAAAGAAAGTGAGACCTCACGGAACTGGGGTTTCATACTTTCCCTCACTGCTAAATGCTAACATCAGCATGCTAACATGCTACCAATGGTAATGCTAACATGCAGGTATAATTTAGCACGTGTAGTGGTTATCGTGTTCACCATATTAGTTTGTGTAAGCATTCTTACACTTGCTTCTTAGCATGAGAATGTTATTAGTTTTGCAGGTAGCTGATCAAAAAACAAATTATTGGACAATCTGAAATTTGGACCTGATGATGGCGCTAGATGAAGGCTCGAAAATTATTCTAAATTGTGTTCTGAGTACTCGACAACACATTGACATTGCAATCTCTAGAGACATTTTGCTAAGATGGCTAAAAATGATTATTGCTGTTATGGAATTTGTTTAGCATCTCTGCTTCACCTAATTTCCTTACTTAATTAATTAAACATGCAATGTTGAGTCCAAAGTAAAGGGGTTTTATGCTGTGATGCCACTATCATCACAGCATAATGATAATTGAAGAAGTGTTGTGATGATTTTACATTGAATTTGACATTTACAGTAATACCTGTAGTAATATGTGTTATATTATGTCACTTTTACAATACTTCTTTCACATTTATCTTGAGGTCACAAGAGAAGAGCATTCAAACGAAAATGAATCACCTGAATAAGCTTAGACAAACACAGGAGTCCTAAAATAATGTATTTACTGCACATATAGTATAGTCAGCAACAGTGTGTTCAGACTTGTATAAGGGCAAAGTGTACATGCACAGCAGAGCTTCAAATCTACATCTAGAAACTTCTAGGAAAGTCTACTCAGCATTGCCACTTTCAACACAACTCAGTAAAGGGTGAAGTAGCCTCGTGCAAATCTGCAGGTTTACAGCACATTTAGCTTAACAGTAATAATAATAAATGATTTTGAGCTGTTGCTGTACAGTAATTTTTTTTCAAAAACAAACATCTATCAGTTTCTAACTGAAATGTATAAATTTCACAGAAAGAAGAGAAATCTGTGGTTGAAAAAGCTGGATATACCCTCAGGCCACGAAAAAATTAAAAAATGGCTTCTGGTTTCTTCACTAACAGAGTTGACATGGTCAAAATGTGAAGATGAAGCTAAAAGCAAAGATGGAAATTTCTTCGATTATACAAAACCTGTTGATAACAATAATTAAAATGTGAATGCCAGCGAATGACTGTTGGTCACAGATCAAAATGTATGTGAACCTTGGCCGTGAAAAGTGAATTGAATCGAACGTATAAAAAATTGTCATTCGGCCTCAATCAAGTTAAACCTTGATTTCAGTACCACGTGTTTCCTAAATATTGACAGAAGACCATCGAGGGGAGCATTGCCCCTCACCCTGTTTAATGTAAAGACGTGCTGATCAATATTTGAGGAGCGCCTGCAGCTGCAGTGAGTGACTGCTCTTCACTAATCATGTGAAAGATTAAATGTGCATGTGTACCATAGAGGGCAGAGATTCAACAAGTTATTTTTATGAAGACATTCAACACTATGCTGCAACATGTGCAGACTTGAACTTCACTCAATCTAATCTTTTCACATCAGCATCATCCATTACAACACAGTAAGGTGCTACTGTAGTGAAGTCACCAGAAAATAGAATTGTAAAGTAAGAATTGTCTGAAATTATTATAATTTTCTTGCAGAATCTGTGCAGATAGACCTGTTAATCTGCCTAAAAGTAAGACAAACTCAGACTTAAGGATGAAGACATTGTTTAGGCTTACAGTGTCCCATGATGATCTAAATGATTTTTATCTCCACCAGGAGAATCATGCAATCGCTCCGCTGTGTCCGTTCGTGCGTTCATGAGTGAATGTGTACCTCTGTGTCTGTCCACGGCTAATCTCACATTTTGCAGCAGCAAACTGCACAATATTTTGCATGGCCAGTCATGGCTGCATGCTCAACGACCTCTGGTGGTTGTGGTGACTCACACTTTATTAAAAAACCTTTTATACCTGATTGATATACTGCCATTTTCTGCCTGCTGGCTCCTCACTCACTGCTCTTAACCAGCTGCCGGCTGGTAGGGGTCGCTAGTGATAACACAGCTGAGTGCATTGCCGTCAGTCGTTATTCTGCGCCCAGAGACAGTTATTTTGTGCTTTTTTAATTGGGCTTAAAACCTTTATATTATCGAAAACATAGACTTGAAGACTAAATAAACGCTTCAAGCGTGGTTACACCCGTGAGACGCAGCTGAGACGCGGTCCTGCACAGACCCAGTGCAGACAACTGCATAGCTGAAATTGAGAGCTTGTCTGTTGAGAAAAAAAAACACCCCTGATACACTTACAGTTTAGAAATGTGGGTTGTAGGCCTATTCATTCAATCCAACATTACAGCATTGGTCGCTGCAGACACTACTGGCTGAGATCTGCACTTTACCGAGCGCACTTCTCTCTTTTTTTTTGTTTTATGTAACATTTATTTACTTTTGTCAGCAAATAAATTAACGGCATCAAGCTGATTTGTGTTGTGTTCATAATGAAACAAATCCTATTATTTGCGAGGAGACATGCATCATCGTTTAGTTTGAAAGCAAAAGAAAAAAATATTTTGAGATACATGTATGAATCCTGTGTTTGTGTGTGTGTGGCTGTATACATATTTATATGTGTGTATGCATGAACATATCTGTGTGGATAAAAGAGCGATTTATGTTTTTGTGGCAACATATTGTAATGTTCTGGCAAAACAAACAGTAAAGAGAAATGACACAACATGGCACCACTACATCCACATACAGAATACTCTACTAATTGGCTAGAAGGAGACTGTGCTTGTAAACACACTTACGTCAAAGTTACAGCCCAGTCTGGTCTATTAAAACTCACCCGTCAGCTGAGTTTAAGCTTTAAGACCCACCTATCAACGTAACAACCAACAACAGTACCATGCAGAGTGGAGGGCTGTCAGTGGCCTCTAGTGGATCCTTATGTTTCTGCAGAGCAACACAGACACTGTCACTATCAATACAGTATTCCTGCTTTACTACACTGTCTCATGTTCAATCCCAGCAGCAGTCATTATGTTGTGTCCTTGAGTAAGACTTGATATATTGAATCCTTGCTCATTCAATTTAAAGTTCTCTCTTGAAATAGAGCATCAGTTCAAACTGGTTTGACAGTAGTGACTACATGAAAAGCTATTTTTATATGGGAAATTCTCCCTGAAAAAATATCAAAGACATCCTTTTTTTAAGAAAGTCCCAGCAATGTTTTTCATCCGCATTACCACAGCAACGACACGCTTATGACAGTATTAAGTTACAAATTGGCAATAGAAACAAACTCAGACTACTTTATAGCTGCCTCACCCCCCCTCTTCCCCCCCCCCCCCCCCCCCCCCCCCCCCCTCCTATCTCTATTGTACTCACTCTTAGGTAGAGATAAACATTCCATGTGCTTATAGAAACAGGTGTCAGGCTTCAGGAAGACACACACACACACACAGTTAATTATTTATCCACTCAATGAAATGCTGACATACACACCGCCCTGTCTGCAGTGTCACTTTAGCCTATACAAGAGACCTTACTGATGGACCAGTTATCTTCAGTGAAGCTAAGAGAGAGAGAGAGAGAAGTCTGGGGAAAGATATAATTAGGTTGTAACCTTTTTAAATGTAATATATGCATGTTTTGTAATAATGAGCATTGCAGCTTGTTCCACGACATTAGATGGGCGCGTGATGGATGAAATACATTTCTTTTCAGAGCTCACGGTGATGCTGGTGTTTGTAGGTTGTACATAAAAAAGATTGTCCAAGGAATCACGATATCAACACTTGCGCTACTCCAACTCTTTCTGGATATGTCTCTGGGGTGTTACTTCTTTGTAATGGAAGTATGCTAATCAAATCCTTGGCTATTTAATGTCATATACATTTTAACATATATGCTAGAATAGTTTCATCTAAATTTGATTATAGAATTACTGTTTTTGTGAGTTTCGCATTGTAATAAGTATGTTTGGTGCAGTTGCAGAGTTTTTTTCTTAGTATCAAGATTTTCCCATAAATGTGAACCGTCTATTTTAGATATCGTGCTAATTATAGTCTGCTTTGATAATTTTCCACAGGACGCTGCTGCGACTGTTCCTACGATGGAAGCAGTGAGTGTGGACTGATCCATTCAGTGGGCGGGGGGAGTTTAAGTACAACAAGTCGGCAAAATCGTTATAAAATACATTGCAAATAACGAATACGTTTAGTTTCGACACGTATATTTGTTATGCATCATTGTAAGCAGCGCTTACTTATCTCACATACAGACCAAGTCTGTTAAATTGCCTTCGAAGAGAAAAATAAACCCTTTAGTTGTAAAGTCGGGAAGTCAGACGAAAACCGAGCTCTGTGCCACATCTTCCACTAAATGATAAAGCGGCTACACCGAGGACTGGAGGCAGGACCGAGGAAAGAAAAAGCTCGCTTCAAACAGCAACATTTATTCTGGTCAAACTCCAAAATGTTAATCTTCTGATAGAGTCAGACGGTGAAACTCTCTCGGGCATCTTTAGCTTTATCAATAAGAGGTGTTAGGTTTGGCTACTGTAGGTTAATAACGGTGAAGGAAACGTGCGGCATCTGGTGAAGTTGGAAAGTGGGCTTAACCAAAGTGGACTTTTTGAACCGGAAGATTCACAAACAGCTGTTACTCCTAAACTAGGTAAGTTAACATGACTTTATCTGAATGACTGGTTAAAGCTACTGTTTTGTCCTTAATGAGTAATTAGTCCATCCTGGTCTGCTGTGGCAATTAATGTATTTGAATCTTGTGTTGAAGACAAATTAGGGTAATATTCTTGAAGTTACTATCACAATTATAGGGGCATTTTCTTGTATCAACAGGCTATATCACAATATTGCAAAGGTATTTTCAAAAATAAACAAAGTGAACTGTTCAGCAACAAACTGTTCACTGTTGGAGCAAACCTTTCAATGTGTAGCCTGAAACAAATACTTTGATAACGTATTTTATATAATAAGTAACCAATAGTGCATCTGTGTGTGTGCGTGTGTGTTACTGAATTTATCTTGTGACGTGATGTGTAAATGCAATGTATTCTCAGGTCTCTTGAAAAATCTAAAGTTACTGTGAGGAACTTTTGACCGGTTATGAAACAGTCCCAATTTAATACTGATGCCTACACATGATCTACATAAGTAAACAAGTCCATCAGCGAATTAATTGGCTATTTCTATATCATCATTATAAGCCCGGGAGAGCCAGAACTAGGACTGAGCGGAGCAGGCTGTCAGACACTGCTGCTGTAAAATATGAGGTTTTCTTTCACAAGGTTGCTCAGAAACAGTACAGCTTTCATCCTGAGAGGCCGCCAACATCAACACAGAATGAAGTTACTTTAAGTAACTTTAGACTCAATGAGATTTTCAACTAACTTACATTTTGTTTATAATTTTTAATCATAGCTTGCTTGAAATTTATTTTTGGGGGACAGCAGATATTTGTCGAACAGTGGCATGATAAGTCTATTTCATTATATGATTTCAGATGTCTATAAATAATAATAGAGATGTTGCCCAGCCCTAAGAAAAATAGACTCAGTATTGATGAACAAAGGTGTGTCAAGCTCTTTTGTCTATATCCATCCCTTAAAACTTTGTATCTTGCCATAATTATGCTTGCTAGTCCATTAATTTCATTTCTTTTTGATAACAAGAACAGAGCCAACTTGTGTACAGTGTATCCAAAATAAAAAAAATAAATAAAAAAACATTCTTAGCAAGGTTGTAAACCTAAAAATACACATAAGGATTTTGCTGTAGTGAACTTTTGAGCAATGCGCATGATGCAGAAATCATTGTGGATGACCCTAAACAGAAAAAGAATACAGCTGTAATAGATTTAACTGTTTTTAAAAACCAACAGCAAGCCTTTTAAATGTCTCGATGTACTGTATGTCCGGCCCTGCGTTTGCCACAGATTGATAGCTACACCGCCTCCCTCTCATAAGCCTTAGCACTACTATCCTGTTGCCTTGGCTACTGGTGTGTCGGGGGACTTCATCCTGATCCCCTGCTTGATTTTCTCTGACACTAGTTCAGAGAGACTGCCACGAAGCAGCGCTGAAAGCGAGAATAACTTGAGAGCAAATGTTCTCTTTTTTCCTTCCTCTCGCACTGGACTAACTCCTCACCCACCTGATGCAGTCTAAGTTAGCAGTAGCACGAAGAACCTCAGGCCGCGTCGCAGCTCTGCTCATCCACTGCACAGCACGCTACCTACATGCAGCACTAAAATGGTAACTCTGCTTTCTTTCTGTGCACCGAACCGTATCGGTTTGTTTGAGGAGGAGCCACAACACAGACCGCATGGAAAATATTTTCATATTGCAGAGTTGAGGATGGGAAGAGGTTGATGATCGTAAATGATGCAGCCAATTAACAAACTCTGTTTTTATGGCTTCAGAATGCTGAAAAATGTCCATCACAACTTCCCAGAGTACAGGGTTGAAGTCTTCAATGTCTTTGTTTTTTCAACTTACAGTCAAGACCCCAAAAGTGAAATCTATGATCAAATTAAAGACAGAATCAAGGTTTTTTTTTTTCCCTTACAGAATGACTTACACAATTAACAGATGTTTAGAAAATAGTTACTAATAATACTCACTAACTGATGCAATGTCAGAGGCATAATGAGCTCCATCAGCTTTGTGTCATGCTTTGATGGATAGATGGACTACTACTACTATGTATCTAAACAAACACCCCTCATCTCTCCTTTTCTGACGGTCTTTGAGATTTATTCTTTGTTGTTACAAGAAGTATTGAGTATCTGGGAAAAGAATGGAGGATTTCTTTGTTGTGAAAAGCCAATACACAGGAAATTAAGTGGGCCTGAGAATGGCAAACAGCAGTGAAAGTTGCCTGGTCAGGGGTTTAGAAGATCTCCACTGTAGCCTTGGGCAGGGGGATACTTGCTGCACTGGAGCCCGTGTGAACCAGTCTCATTAGGCTGGGAACCCACTGGAAAAAGTGGACCATACAGAGCAGGAACAGCTACGGGGGTTGTGGACTAGATGAGAGACTGTTGCTTCGTATTAGAGAGGAATTGCAAACACGGAATCTTGAAATGGCAATGTCATTGGCACTGTTGTGTATCAAACGACACTCGCAGACAGTGTTTGGTCTTGCAAACTTATTTTGCATTTTGCAACAGTCGAGGCAGCGAGAGCCTGACTTTCTTTGCACAGGAGGTCATGTAGATGTCAATATCCAGAAGTTATTTCTGACCACATTTCAAGATGTTTTCCACTGCACCAAGTAGAAACTTAAGAAAATGACCTGCCCAGTTCCCAGCTGTGAAAACATCTAAAACATCCTGTGACGTCTCAAATTGAGGCCTGTATGCATTCATTGCATACACAGGAAGCACAAACAGAACTACAATACAGCTGATTGCCCATCGCAGAGAGGCAGGCAACTGTTCCTGCAGAAGGTAACAGGTTCTTGCAGCAATATTTCATATGTGGACAACGGAAACAACAGTTACGAGGCAGCTGTTCTCACTTCAGCCCAGAAATGAGCTTGATCAGTGTTGCGACATTGTCCGACTCTTTTTGTTTTTTATTCCGAGCATAATAAATGAGCATATTTCAGAGGCCAGGGGAAACTGTAAATCTGTTTTGCGAGTGTGTTTGTACATTTTCTTTACGAGACTGATTTGCTGTTTTCTCTCCAACGTCATGGCAGCACTTTTCAGTCTTCCAGGCTGGAATCTGCTGGATTTCTTATGAGGGAATAAAAAAAGCAACGCCCATATTTATGTCTGTTCCAGCTCAGCCTGCTCACTGAGCTGTCCTGGAAAAGTCCATGTGACCCAGAGCTGAGGAGATGCTGCCGCTCCCTCATCCTTGTTGTACATTAGAGCGGAAGACTATGGTCCGGCCTGCAGGGCAGTGTGCAATTTATACCATAGCCGTGTTTAAACACAGTCAGCTGACATTGATGTTATATTCTCGAAGTGCAGCTTTTATTCTACGGTCACAAGCTTGCTGCCATGAAAGCCATGTGATATGATAGTGTTGTTACTTTTTCAAAATGCAATAGAGGGCTATTTGTTCTAAGACTATTTGTATCATGTTATTCATTCATTGGATTCATCATTGAGCAGAAGATGAATCCTTATGACCTCAGTGATTTACTTACTTTTCCTCCAGCAGGTCAAAGTTTTCATGCAAGTGAATGATCTCATTTCTGCTTGATGGTTTGGCACACAATTTTTGTTTTGCTAGCATTATGTTAGCATTTAACTCAAAGCCACCACTAAGCACAGCCTCACAGAGCATGTAGACCCTTAAATCTTAAATTATTTCCAACAAAAAATGTAACAATCTGGAACTCAATATTATGGCCTTACAATGTTCAAAATCGTACCCACCACACTGTTTAAAAACGTGTCAAGTAAACTGGGGTAAGGGATAAACCGTGTCACATGTGTTGTGCACGTGGTTTTAATGATTTATTTTCCGTCTATAAGTGGGTGACGTTGTTAAGCGTTTATGTTACTGTCTGGTCCTCAAACCTGCCGGCCTGCCTGCCTCTCATGTTACTCTCTGACTTTGATTCATAAAATTGCAGGAAATTACACCCATGTAACAATTATGAGAAATAAGGGCGTCTGCGTGTTGAAAAGACCTCATCCAAATTCACACAGTTCTCATTTGTTCTACGCCAGATAAAATCATTCTGGTGCCAATGACACAGGAGTAATGGGATTTCAATAATTGGAAGAGAACGAACATGGGGATAATACATCTCTCCCTGCCATGAATTCATTCTACGTAACACAGAGGAGTAGATGTGTTATTCAGAAGGATTATTATGTAATTAAACCGCTGGTATTAGCTGGAAATAGTTTTTCTTTTTATGTGTCATACTTTTTCGATTCTTTCTTCCTCCCTGCCCTCGCACATCTCTTTTTCTTTCCCTCCCACGCACACTTCACCAGATTCGTGTTGTAAAAGATTTGCTCAGGTTTTGGTCAATTTCTTCTTTCGATTTCCAAAAAAGGACATTTTAACATTCTGACCGTGTTGAAATTCGCCCCTTTCTTTCTGTTCCTTTCTTTCATACGAAGGCTGCTCTCAAACCTCTGATGAAACACAGATTTTAGATGGTTGATACTGAAAATGAGGACAAGCAGATGGATTTAATTTCCTCATGTGATTGACAATAAATGTGTGTCTTTATACCACCTTTCCCTTGCTGACAAAATCTATGAAGCATGAAAGATTTTCTTCTCTTATTTGAACAAATCAAAACAATCACCTGTTGTTATGCAAGTGTCATAACCTTCTTGCGTACTAACACCCATGTTTGCCTCTGCTTCATCGGTGGGCTGCATGCACAGAGTGTCCCATCTAATACTTACTGTGTTGTTTTGGTTTTGTCCTGGATGTGTTGTTTTCATGCATCCTCACATCCTCAATCATGAATACCCCCGCATACATGAATAAAGAGATTATAACCATGGAAACCGAATTTGAACAAACCGCAAAAACCAGAGGTGAATAGGTCCAGGTGGTCAATGCTTCAGTGTCTTTGTTAGCATTGGTATTTTTTCCCCTTCATCTGTATTTCTCTAGTTGGTCAGTGTATGAACTCCACCGCTTAAAATAAATTAGAATATGCATTTTCACATACAGGTGAGGACTATTGTTGAGGTGAATGTCTGGCTTTCTCAGTAACAACAGTCAGTATCAGCCTGAAGTGGGTTTATTGAGAATTACACTACACCAGAACACTTGTCCTGCAATTACAGGTCGATAAATGATCACTGTGACAGAGGATTAATAGTCTATCCGTGGAGACACATCCACAGCCCCACCACACACACACACACACACACACATATCGTAACCTCATGAGGTTTGAGTTGTAATCTAATCTCTATTTTTCCTACTGTGTATGGACATTGTCTCAACTGTCCAGATTTATCCCTCAGCTTGGCTGCCTGAGAAGCATCATCAGCACATGTTTTTATGATAAAACACTGCTGCAAGCTGAGAGGAGTTATTGAACCAATGAATCATTTATGATGTTCACACAAGGATATTAATGAGCGCTGTTGGTTCCCCTGCAGGAGCAGAGGAAGCCGAGCAGCCGACGACGTGGACAGTAAAAGCGAAGGGGGAGTGGAGAAGTGAAAGGAGAAGGTAGAAACACCAGCCCAGCTACCTGCCTGCCTACCTGAGAGTGCTGTGTCATGGGGAAACAGAACAGCAAGCTGCGGCCCGAGGTCCTGAACGACCTGAGAGAGAACACAGAGTTCACCGACCACGAGCTGCAGGAGTGGTACCGCGGCTTCCTCAAGGACTGTCCAACTGGCCACCTAACTGTGGAGGAGTTCAAGAAGATCTATGCCAACTTTTTCCCCTACGGAGATGCCTCAAAGTTCGCCGAGCACGTCTTCCGCACGTTTGACACCAACGGAGACGCCACCATCGACTTCAGGGAGTTCATCATCGCCCTGAGCGTGACATCTCGTGGCGGGTTGGAGCAGAAGCTGCGCTGGGCCTTCAGCATGTACGACTTGGACGGGAATGGGTACATCAGCCGGGCAGAGATGCTGGAGATAGTTCAGGTGAGGACGTACTGTATGACAGAATAGGGTTTCTTCATTGATGTTTATGCTGTGTACATCAGTGTCTTGCTTAGTTTTGGTCAGGATCAGCCTCATTCTGCAGATATATAACGAGGTTCTTCAAGCAGTGCATCTCATATATAAGACAGTGATTATTCAAGTAGGAGGAATGTAAATTTAAAAGGTTTCTACTAGTTTGGCTAATTCACTACATCAGAATGACTGATGATGTAGAAAAAAGGAAAGGAAAGGAAAGGAAAGGGAAACGACAGACAAAACTGAGACATTTAATCAGATTCCTTTGGGTTTAGCACATTTTAAGCCAAATCTATATCCATAACAAAATAACAAATGTAATTTATTAAAAACTACGGACTAAACTAAATTAATACTATTTATACTGATTTTAATTCCAAGTATGGCTGCAATTAATGATTACTTACATATATAAATCTGCTGTTTATTGTCTAGATAGAATAATTGATACATTGTGTGGTCTATAAAATGTCAGAAAATAGTGAAAAATACCGTGACAATTTCCTTAATCCCAAAGTGAGTCGGTAAGCGTCTTGTTTTGTCAACAGTCCAAAACCTAAAGATATTCAGTTTACTAATAAGTAAAAAAAAAAAAAGTTGGAACTGAAAAAGTTTTAATACCTTTGCTAGAAAAATTGCTAAAACAACATCAATTGTCAAAATAGTTGCCGATTACAGATGTATCCACTAATAGTTCAGTGTACAGCTTTCTGTCCTGTGACTGCTTTTAGGCTCGGCAGTCATTTGTGGGTCTGAATTTATAAGATACTTCACATCATGGATGCGGGCTGCCCTTTCTGTCTTTCTTATCACTGTGGCTATATTTACTCTTCCAATATGGTGAGCTGAGCAGCCTGCAGGGCCATATCAATTTTGGTTCAGTTCGTTTTGTTTGTGGATACAAATGAATGTGAAAAAAACAACATCAGCATCAGAGCTTTTGTTAAAGGTCAATGCTTTCCGTTTTTCAGCAAAAACCTTTTCCTCATCACAGACCTTTACACGATCTAAAAATGTGTGCAGCTGTGGAGGTTCCAAATAGACACATCTGACACATGAGTCACTCACTGTGAAACAGTTTAACAGCAGGATGGGCTTCATTTGCCAGAGCACCATCGTTACCAGGTAGCAATGGAAAACAGGTCATTCAGACAAAAGATGGAACAAATGTGTCCGATGGGAACATAAACAGCATATAAGAGGTGGTCATAGTAACTGACATCACCAATTAGTTTGTGAACTGCTTTTTTGAACCCCACGAGTACTGCATTTTGTCTGTCTCCATCTTGCTTATTTTGCAACCATAAGTGACACGAGAGGGTGGAGCGAAGTAAAACCAAAGACATTTTTAGGCCACCAAAAAGGTTATAATTAACTTTCATGAACTTAAAACACACCGTTAAAGCATGCCCTGCTTTGTCTCTTTTATTCTAAATGGGACCAACATTTACAAAATGAGCATCATGCATGTTTTGAAGAAGACTTGAGAATAGTGATTGAGAACATAAAGTCACATTTACAATGTTTACTGAGGTAAAAAAAAATCAAGTGGGGTCATTTTCTCATTGACTTCCATACAATCTGAATTATTTTTTAAACCAGGAGTCGCCCCCTGTGTGCCATTAGAAAGAATGCAAGTTTAAGGCACATTGGCTTCACTTTTTTTAGAACCAGAGGTTGCTGCCTGGTTGGGAACAGTTGTTTCTTTGACTGCCTAAAAGCTTTACACAGACGATAAGCAGAGTTTGATATGCACAAAACAGCAATCGTTCTCCCCCTTCCTTTGTAGGCAATTTATAAGATGGTATCCTCAGTAATGAAGATGCCTGAGGACGAATCAACACCAGAGAAAAGGACAGACAAGATCTTCAGACAGATGGACATTGACAATGATGGTAAGACTGATGTTTTATTTTGATGTGCTCAATATGCTTTAGTGAGGAGATATCACAACCAGCTGTCACTATCAGTCGTGAAAGCAAGAGGGAGTCCTGAATAAAACTGGCTTCTTACTCTTCTCACGGTACAAAAACAGGTATATAAGCTTTAACAATTGGTGTAGTTGTAAGCAGAAATAACTATAACTCCTCCTGTGGGCTAGTGTATAAACATATGACAGTTGTAATAGTATAAAATCATAGAAAAGTGCTGACAAATTCTGTACATTAATAAAATGTCTTATATCTGCATACAACTTCATTATAGTGTGTTATAAACCATTTATTAAATGACTGCTTATTAATGCATCATGCATAATTAAATATATCACTGAAAGTAAAGCCTTACCAGATATAGATATATCGTGAAAGATTCGGTATTTAATGTCTTTTGACATTATACAATAGCCTCCACAGAGCAGTTGAGAGTAATGGGAAATATGGAAGCTGGACGACAGACAAAGACACAGAGAAATAGGACGTCATACAGCATGACCATTACTCACGAGATAATTAACAGTCTTGTGTATCTCATCCTGCTGAGCCACCTCGATGTCAGTGGTCTGACATTTAGTGTGAAAAGGTGATGCTACACCCATGTGATGTGCACGTAAGCATTTCCCAAGCGTCACAGACCGAGCTGCACGGCCGCGACAAAAGACGTAGATACACACAACCAAACCCATTAACACATTAGTTATAATGTGTTAATGGGCATAATGTGCATAATGTCAACAAAACACTGACAAGGTGTCTCAATTAGGGGAGAAAACCAGCGACGGAGCTCAAAGAGGGTTTTTAAAAAGTGGCACAAAGAGCCCGTGTTGCTATTTTACTGATGACCGTCTGCTCAAGAAGAGCCAGCCAGGGCAGTTACACCAAGGCTTGCTGTTTTTGACATGTCACATCTCAGTTAGATATTCAGAGCTAGTCGTATGGCAGTGTGGGCACCTAGATGTGTTTTGGAGCAGAAAGTCTGGAGGTCAAGATGTGTGTTTTATAACATCACAAGGTTCCACAGACCAGGCCTACGGCTACAGCTGCAGCTGACCCTCCTCTCTAATGCAATTTATACAGTTGCTGTGTGACTGAAAGTGGTAGTTAATTTAAACAAATTGTGGTGTGCTAAAATAATAACATTTGCTGGCAGCATTGTCAGATTGTATCTTTGCAATGCTGACTATTGGGTTTTAACAAAGACTGGGTAAAAAAATCTAAGATGTAAAATATTCAAACAGTGATTTAAGTATTGTCATTTTTATAATCTTACAAACAATATACTGTGCTACTAAACAGAGCATCTAAAGATTTCCTGACTTATATGAAAATAGCACAACTGTTATTAGCTATAAACGACTCAATCATTAAGTCATACAATGTAAGCTCATTGTAATTTATTTAGAAGTTGTGTACTTTGCCTGGACTGTGTTAACAGGGGCATCGGTGATTATATTGTAAAGGGACATTAGAGGCTTTTCTGTTGATTTTATTAGGTGGTTGCTGTACGATTCACTCCCTCACATGCTCAACCCGCTGGTGAATGAGAATCTTTTCTTCTGATCTGTGCTTCACAGGTAGATTGTCTTTGGAGGAGTTCATTAAAGGTGCCAAGAGCGACCCGTCCATCGTCAGACTGCTGCAGTCGGATCAGGGAGCCTCTCGTCAGTTCTGAGGACAGTGACAATAATAGACGCATACATTCCCCCAAAACACCATCACAAACCCACATCTGTCGGCTGGTCATCGCCACAGCTCACTCACCAGACAATCCTTTCATTTTGAACACAAGTCATCGTCTTATTGTTTACATTAATGGGTAATTCTCTTTGGTCAATGTGGCTCCTTTCCTGTGGACTATGACATGCGTTCAGTTGAGGTATTTTGCATTTATGCTTTTCCAAAAGCTCTCTTGACTTGAAATGTTTTTTACCCGTTCTCCATAAGTGAAGTGCCATATCATATATTTATACTGACTGGATTATGTGCTTGCAAGTATTATAAATCCCATTATGCTACACCAGGTAGAAACTAATTAGATCACTTCTTATAATTTGATTCAACTCAACTGTGTTGAAGAGTGGCTTATGTTGCTCTTCTGAATGCCTTCCATATTGCATGTGCCCGGTGATTTGAGTTTTCTGATATTGTTACAGTTCATGTGAATAATGAGGCCGTGGTTGTTTTTATTCCTTTTTATTTTTGTAACAAAAATTTTGTTTTCACACAATTCAAATAAAGTCGTGTAAGAAAAATCTACACAAGTCCCACAGTATCCCCTTGTGGACAAACATGAAAACCCAGCAAGATTCTCCCTTACTGGTTTAAAAAGGAGAAAAAAAAACAAATATAGAAAGAGTCACATAAGGTTGATATTAAAGTGTTACTTTGACAAGTCCACATTTTAAAACAGGTACGTGAGGGTGGCTGAGAAGGGGAGAGACGAACAACATTTGAAAAAGACGAATGAACAACTGAAATGCCACATTCATAGCCTCCTCCCCCTCTCAGCTGGCGGCTGCCGTATAAACATGCAGCTTCTAATGTTCAGCAGGTATGTGAGGCAGAGTTCACTCCATAGACATGACACATGCCCCCCCCCCCCCCCCCCCCCCCCCCCCCCCCCCATGTGACTGACAAAGATGATGTGAGAAACTGCAGGTGTCTCATGTGTCTTTTCTGGAATATTTCAGTAACTGGGCAACCGGGCCTCCCATTTGTCCACAGGAGAGGGGAGGCGGGGTCGCACAGGACCAGACCAGATTGAACCAAGTCAGTTCCCGCCCTGGTCGGGCTCATAACTCATCTTTATCAAAGTCATCATCCAGGTCTACGTCACTGAGGTCGTAGTCCTCCTCCACGGGAAGCTGCAGTTGAAAATAAAGACAAAACTGTTACCAAAGACGGGGATACACATGAAAACGTTCACTTCATATGAAGTAGGGCAGAGACGCAACGCAACTACGCATTAAACCAGGAAACAACATTTTAACCCAACATTTTACAACCGGGCCAAATTTCTGCCGGATCTGTAGTCGTTCCAAACGATCAAAGATTTGTCTTTGAACACTTTGATTTCTGGCATGTCAGAAGTTTTGGGTTGACTGTGTTGACTTAAGGTTGTGCTGCGATAGAAGTAAAACTGAACTCTGCTGCATGCCAGGCAGACGATATGGTCTCATCTTAAAGCCATCTGAGGGTCCATATTTAACTTTGTGTCCATTGTACAATTTTACAAAATGCTGTATTTTTTTTCTGTTTTGTCAACACTGTTGTGGATGAGATCATCTTTTTTTTTTTTTGTCAAGACCTGGACGATTGATCCGTACAACGTGGGTTTCGGCTTCGTAGAAAGGTAGAGGAAAACGTCCAATGTGTGTTAAGCTCACGTATAAGATTAACAAAAATGTAGGGCCAAATAGGACTCATCTGTACATAAGGTCAGAGATTTAACTCCACTGTGATGCTCCCGCTCACCTGTCCATCTTTGCCGTCCCAGGGTTCAACAGTTTGGATCTTGGGCATGGTGCCACCTCCCAATGTGGCAGTCGAGCCACGGCCTACAGAGAGCTCCCTGAGGAACAGATGAACCACATGAGCGCCATCGTTCAGCTTACTCCGAAGCGTGTTTTTACATCGTTTCTTGATATGATGGGAAAGAAAAACAACCTACCTGAGGAACTCATGAATGCCAGTCTCACTGAAGGAGCCCCTGAGCAGAGCAAATTTCATTTTGCGTAGGTTGATTGCCGCCATCGCAGGATAGCCAAATCCACCAATACCAAGAGAGGCCTCCAGCTCCATCTGAGCTCCAGCTTCAGTCCACAGCCAGCTGACGAGCGTGAGAACAGGATATTAGTCGGTCCCAATTAGTAATTTGCGTAATAATCCATGACTGTGCCGTCATCCTTACCCCCACATCTTCTTCTTGTACTTCTCAGCCATCTGCATCATCACCTCCACATAGCCGTTTCTACCTGCTGCGCCTGTTGAGACACGGGGACGGTTCACGGTGAGTGATTCAAGGGTTAAAATGATGTTTTAATATTGAACATGTTCAGAGTCAGTCTCACCTGTGTCCAGGATGTGTGGCAGAAAACCAATTACACACAACTGACTGTCCTCACAGGTCTTCTTCAAGATGTCTGTATTGAGGATCTGAGGGACAAACATGTACAATACACACAAATTTAATGTTTTGTGAATTCACATCATTATATAACTAGACAAACGTAAGTAAGGGTCTGAATTGCTTTTGTTCGTCTTGTCTGACAGGGTAACCGTCACTGCTCATGCCTAAACAACCAATATTGAAGTTAGTAAAGTTAGATTATTAATTGTGTTCATTAACACTGTAGAAAACAGAACTTAAAACAAAGGTGATAATCTCGTAGTTTATGGATTTTAGATTTCAAAAAGCATCTTCTCCAGATTCTAACGGACCCTTTTATTTTAGTCTAACACCAGCACTATAACCTTTCATCCATGAATGTATGATGCAAAGACACTGCAGAGTGCACTGACCTCCAGCAGTTCAGGAGCAGCAGCGTGGTCAGAGAACAGGTCCACAGCCCTCTCGATGATGTCTCCACGTGTGCGGCCTCCTTGGTAGTCTTCCGGCTCCTCGCCTTTGCGGAAAATCTTAATGGTGGGAAATCCACGGACCTAAAAACACATAAAACACACTGTTCCAGTTCTGCAAATCATTACCTTAGATTTAGTGGCATATTGATAGTTATTTAAGGATTCAGTATAGGAAAGTCTCTTCATTATTCAATACAATACATGTCTTAGTTGATGTTACAATGACTGCTTAAACTGAAATGTTATCAGTCGCAAACTTAAACAATGGTTAAAATTGCAAAAGACTAGCATCATATTGAGGGTGTGTCCAGTGAAGGTTCTCACTGTTGTTATGTCTACTAGTACAACTATTGGGTATCAGAATTGTGTACCAATACACCACATTGACTTATCTCTCACCCCGTAGCGGCTGGACACAGTCTGGTGCACAGTAGCATCCACAGCTCCGAGGCGAACTTTGCCCTTGGTCTGCTCCTTGACAGCCGAGGCTGCAGCTGCCCACTCGGGCTCCAGGCTGTCAACAACAGCAAAAAAGTGATGGTTTGAAATTTATTTATTTATTTTTTTTAAAAGACTGATTTTCTTAAAGAATTAATTCCACAGTAGAGAAGTCACAATTCATTTATTGTACTAGTGTGTGTGTGTGTGTGTGTGTGTGTGTCACTGTTTCTTACAGCTGGGGGTGGACTGTGTGAGGTATCAAACTCACCTTTTGCAGTGTCCACACCAGGGGGCGAAGAACTCCACCAGCCACACCTCGTCACCCCCCAACACCATCTTGTCAAAGTTGTCATCAGTGAGCTGGACCACATCCTCCTTACTGCCCCCACCGCTCTGCTGGAAGGGAAGCTGAGTGTTACTTAAAGTTCACTTAAGGGTTTTTGATGTTTCCAATTTCAAATAATTACAACAAACCGCTGCACGGGGTCCCTAATGTATCCACCTGTTTGTTGTAGCCGGAGCTGCCGGACTTGCCGCTCAGCCTGTCTTTTACCAGTGTGCGCAGAGTGTTCATGGCTGCATCCACGATGGCTTGGCTACTGCGTCCACCTGAAGGAAGAAGGGGATTCAAAGCCGAAGAAATTTAATTTAGAATCTCAAGTCTTCCTCGCAATAACTTTAACGGTCAGAAAGTGTCCAACAAAGCCCTGAAAGCAAGCTGATTTACTGAGAAAGGGTGACGTTAGTTGCCTCTCTGACGCCTACGTCCCCTTTTCTCTGAACTGATAATAATTAGATTTAACTTTTTTTCAGAACAGCTTCTTTATCAGGGCTTGATAAGGTCACTGTAGAGGAAGATTTCAAACTCACAAAGCTGTGTCTTCACCAAACAAAAGTTATGTTTATTGCAGTGGTTTTGGCTGTACCTTGGTAGTCCTCCGGCTTGTTCTTATTGGCTCCAAAGACCTTGATGGTGGGGAAACCTTTGACGCCATACTGGCCACCCAGTGACTTGTGCTGGTCTGAATCTACTGCACCAACCTTCACAATACCCTGAGGGATGTCAGGAAAAAAACAAAACGTTTGAGTGTCTAGTGTCAACTTTTAATCACAGCAAGCCTGTTATTCATTGTATCAGGAAGTCAGCATGTCAATGAACAAATGCAACAGTTACTTTTGTATGCAGGATATTTCCACGCGCATATATTGTTAAGAAAATAACATTAGAGGTGATAGCCATGTGTAGAAAAGCACTTTCAATAAAAAACAAAAACACAACATTACCTTAGTTTAAGCCAAAAACAAGACTCACTAATATTTGACTACAGTCCCGTGTCTGCCCATGTCACACGCCTGCGTTTGCAGTTATTCTCACTGCTGAGTTACAAACTTGTAAAACACTTGTAGGTGGAACAAAGCTATGAGCTTCGTTATTGTGATAAAACTTAAGTGAGTGAAATGAAAAATGAAAAATGAATG